GTTTGCGTGATTCGTAGGCGATGGGTTGGAGGCCGTCGCCGAACTCCTGTAACAATACAGCTCCGATGGCGATGTCACTTGCGTCAGTAACCATTTCGAAAGGGCGGTGGGGATCAGCGATGCGTAGAACGGGTGGTGAACAGAGAACGGTTTTCAGGGCAGAGAAGGCAGCATGCTCTTTCTCCCCCCACGTAAAAGCGACCCCCTTACGCAGTTAATCAGTGAGTGGGGCTGTTAAACGTGCCATGTCGGGCACGAACCGTCGAACGTAATTAACAAAACCTAAAAAACTCTGCAGTTCCGTGATGTTCGTCGGGGGGCGCCACGCTTTTACCGTATCCAGCTTCTTTGGGTCAATCTCAACCCCAGCCTCCGAAATGACGTGACCTAAAAACTATAGCCTGTCCCGAAAAAACTCGCACTTGGAGCCCTTGGTGAGTAGCCGATGTTCCTCCAAAACCTTAAAAACTGCTTCAAGATCCACTAAGTGTTGCTGCTTATCCCGGCTGTAAACTAGAATATCGTCCAGGTAAACTATCACGCATTTATCTAAAAGTGGTCTAAATGCCTCGTTCATGGTCATCTGAAATGTCGCAGGCGCGTTCGTCAGCCCGAATGGCATTACTGTATACTCGAATGACCCGTACCTAGTCCTAAATGCTGTTTTGGCGCAGTCCGATGGTTCGACCCGAATCTGATGGTAACCTCCCCGTAAATCTATTTTCGAAAAGACTCGTGCTGTTCGCAGTTGGTCGATTAGTTCGTCGGCGCGGGGGATGGGGTATCGCGATTTGACTGTTACCCTGTTAAGCGCTCGGTAGTCGATCCACATGCGGAACCCTCCGTCTTTTTTCGGTGTGAACAGTATCGGTGCGGCGAACAGTGACGAGCTCGGACGGATAAACTGCTTCTCTAACAGGTAATCTAACTGCTTCCTTAACTCGTCGAGCCCGGGCTGTGTCAGTCAAAATTGCCGCTGTACAGTTGGCTGTGCCCCCCGGTTCTAACTAGATCCTATGGTCGTGCGCCCGCTGAGGTGGCAGTCCCTGTGGTAAATCATCCGGAAATATCCCCGGGAACTGTTTCAGTAGTGCCTGTAGTTCGGTCGGTACAGTTGCCAGCAGTTTCTCCAAATCACTCGGCTGCTCATCTTTCTCTACGAGTGCGATATCCACTGCGTACACGTCAGCTCCAGCAGCGACAGCCCGTTTCATCGTGATGGCGTTGACCTGGACCGTCGAAGATTTGGGTGGCTGACAGCGAGGTAGAACGACCCAGTTACCACTACTTCGCACTGTGCAGCTCCCCGTCGTCCAGTCGATCCGTGGGTTGTACCGTCGCAGCCAATCACGTCCCAATAAAATGTCGTGCCCATCCAAGTTCCCCCCGCAACGGACTTTTACGCGCTCCACCTTTTCCCGTATGGCCAGGGGCGTGCCGTCGACTAAGCGTGCATCTATCTCAGGTAAACATCGGTTAAGCGTTAACTGTAATTTTTCGTGCGGTTGCGGTATCAACTAAGCTGTGGCTTGCTCCTCCGTCAATGAAGATCTTCACTGCTGCTCCCTGTATTTTCCCGTAGATCAATACCGGGCAATCCGTCGCTGTACCCTCCTTATTCATCCGAGCCCGATCGATGGCGTGAACCGGTACTGTGACTCGGTGAGGGTCGGTGTGGTTGGGCGAGCAGGCAGTCTCGTCAGTAGTTGGCCCAACTTCTACTGACTGCTGGCGTTTCCCTGCCTCCGAGACTCCCTCCCTGCTCTGCTCCTCGACGTCTCAGCTCCTCTGGACATTCGCTCTTGCGATGGCCCGGCCTGTTGCAAGCAAAGCAGCGCCCTCTAAACGGCGCGGGCAGCTGCATTCGCTGCGACGGCATGTACAGTGGCGTGCTCGGTCGGTCCCCGAGGACGATGTCCGTAATAGGACCCCCGGTCTCGGTCGGCGTAGGATATCCAATTTTCTCCGGCGAGCGCGAGGATCTCGTTGAAATTCGAGAGCACGGCGTAGCATTATCTCGTGCGAGATGTCCGGCTTCAGCCCTCCGACGTAACGGTCCACCCGCTCTGCCTCATGCATGTAGCCGACCTGTTCGCAAAGTGCGAGAAACCCGCTCGTGTAGTCTTGAACTGACCCGAGCTGGCGCCAAGTGCGCAGTTTCTGACGCGCCGAAATCGATGGCCGCGATCGGCTCAAAGCGCGCCCGAAGTCCTGCGCACCACGCATCCCACGTGCTGTATTGGGCGGTTTCGCAGAACGAACTCCAGGTAACAGCTGGACCCGAGGGCCCTTCCTCGTGCGACGGTGGCTCGTAGGCGCGCGGCGACGTCACAATGACTCGCCACCAGTCCATGGCGGGGCCCCTGAGTAGTGAAACCGCATACCGGATCTTGGCGGCGTCCGACTCGACGTAGTTGGCGTCGAAAAATACATTCATCGTGAAGACCCACGATTGAACTGTCGGGCCGCCGCGTTGGCTTGGGTCGAAGCAGGGCGGGCGTTGCGGCTTGAGTGGCATTGGGGCCATCATGGCGTTCTCGCCACTTGTCGCCGCAAACTCCACGTGCTGACGGGCTTCTCGGGGCTCCCGTGGGCTTAATGCGCTCTTGTTCCCTCCCATGCCGGGCATCGGTTGGGCTGCGCCGTCACTGGCTGCGCCTGAGCGCTGTCCCGTGCTGTTGTGTTGCGTTGCTGTGCCGGATGAGATGACGATGGGCTCCTCCAAATGTGCATATGCATGTGCGTGTGATGTCGTCAGTACGTTCACCCGTTGACTGTTGACGGGCGAAGTCACGTTCCGCCGTGAGAGTCGCGATTTCGAGCGCCGAATCCTCCAATTGACGCACGAGACGATCGAGTTGCTCCTGCCGTCAACATGGCGAGATTGAAATCGGCCATGGCGGGGGTGTCGGGCAAGCTCAGCGAGAGCCTCGGTCGTGGCCGTGCGTGCTTTCGAGAGAGCACTACGAGCGGCGGTGCTGTGTCGCTGAGAGACGTCTACCCCCCCCCAAAAATTGAGATAGTGGGAAGCGAAGGTGTGGATGCGGTCCGAGATGAGATCGTAGGCTATGAATACCAAGTGTTACGAGTGCAATTGAGTGAATGAACGAGAATTGCACTATCGAAGCAAGAATACCAATGAGCGAAGGCATGGGCGAACATTATATAGCGAAACTATAGGTGGTAAACGGTAATGGTCGCGCGACGAGCCTGGGACTGAGGTTGGGAAAGTGTCGAAAGCGTAGGCCCGGAGCGCGGGTTACCAGCCGAGCCGTGAGGTCGGGATGCGATGTGCGAAAAGGGCGGGATGATGAATGATGCGATGGTCGCGAGTGGTAACGGTGCTGACTGAGGTTCTACAGTGATGTACGCGTTGAGCAGGGACGCTAAGTAAGGAAAAGGGAATTCGCTACAAATATACAGCAAAGAGCAGTACGTGCACAGCCTGTTTGCTCATGCGTGTTTATGATTTTCCACAACGAAAACAGATCTACAGTTATCGCGGATGAATTCGCACGGACCGAGCTGTGATCGGCGTGCGACGGCCGGTTCGGAACCAAAGTTCAGTTCACCTGCCTGCCTGGATTCCTCCCCATCTTCGTGCGGGTCGCGCTGTCAGGGCTGCTTGATTTCTGCAATAGCGTGCCCCCTCGTCTCGTTTCGCCTGTGGGTTCCTGACGATTCGTTGGCCAACCAGAGTCGCCGTAAAATGACAGGCTGTAATCAAAGCTCGTCAGGGGTGGTGGACGACTTTCGATGAAGGTCGCGGACACCTTTCTGACTTACCTCCCACGCACCCTGTTCCTCGTCGCCCCTCGGTTTTCACGAACTGTTCCGCCGGCTACCTCCCCTCCCGCGTGCCATTCCTTGGAGTTTGCTTCACCGCCCGCCCCCCGCGCCCCCGCCTTCACCCCGTCCGCCCACCCCAATCAATCAATCCCCTTCAGCATTTCGCCGTGCTGTTTGTTTTTGCGTCACCCCCATTCTTCACTAGGAGAAGGGAGTCTCCATTCCTACTCACTCACCGACCTTTCACATACCTCTGTGTCCCCCTTGTGTCTGCTTCAGCACAACTTCTCGCATACTTCAGTTCCCTTTTAGCTTCTCGCCTGGGACGTCGAGTGTCGTATGCGTTAATGGCTAACATCGTCTCTCGCTAGCGTCTCGGCCGAATCCTTTTGAAAGCAAGCGTGACTGCAATCTCGCTACCGCCGATAGCGGGACCTTCGCCGCGTCCTGGTCTCATCGAATAATTTGAGAAGTCGAATAAGTGAAGCCATGGGCCCCGGTTCGATTAAGTCGAATAAGCGATGGGTCCTGCTCTCCGTCATCCACAACGTCATGTTGTAGAGTTTCCTCTATTCCAGCTCGACTCAATCCGACCCTCAACATCCACCTCGCCAACACCGACACCACCGACCGCACCATCCGCAACCGCGCGTCCTCCTCCTCCTCCGCTGCTTCTCTTTATCGCCAGTTCACCCTCCTACTGATCCGCCGCAAAGCCCGCTCCCTCCACCGCGAAACCTCCCCGCTCAGCGCTCTCCTCCCATTCCGTGGATCCGGACCCGTTTGGTAATGCCGAGGTGCTCGGATTTCCCAAGCCCCCCAATCTCATTTCCGACAGCACACCCGCTGCCACCGTACGTCAACGCTCCACTGACGATAACGATGACGGATTCCGTCAAGAGCTGCTTTCCGTCAACCCGCCTAAATCACCTGTTTCCGTACTGACCGTCAGTATCCTAACGGTGCTAATGGCGGCAGCGACAGGCCTCGGGTCGCTGCCGTTTTTTCTTCATGGAGATGGAGGAGGAGTGGGCTGGCGTGTGTAACGGCGTGGCTTGCGGCGTGATGATGGCAGCTAGTTTCGACTTAGTCTCCGAGGGAAGGTTGCACGACAGCGGATCAGGCGGCGCGTGCGTTGTGGTAGGGATTATTCTAGGCGGGCTGTTCATTGTTTAAGTCAGCGGGTATTGGAGCAGTTCGGGGACGTTAAAATGATGGATTTAAAAGGCGCATCGGCCAACCGCGTGGTTCTCATCCTCGTTATCATGACCCTCCACTCCTTCGGCGAAGGCTCGGGAGTCGGCGTCTCCTTCGCCGGCCCTCGCGGGCTGTCGCAGGGGCTGCTGGTAACCATCGCCATCGCCGTGCACAACGTACCGGAGGGCCTCGCGATGACTCTCGTCATGGTCGCGCGCGGCGTGCGGCCGCGCAACGCCATGCTCTGGAGCGTCTTCACGAGCCTCCCGCAGCCGCTCGTCGCCGTCCCCGCGTTCCTCGGCGCCAACACCTTCACTCAGTTCCTCCCGCTCTGCATGGGCTTCGCCGCGGGTTGCATGATCTGGATCGTTTTCGGCGAGGTTCTCCCGGAGTGTATTAAAGAGGGCGCGAACTCCTCCCACATCGCCTCCGCCGCGACTCTCTCCGTTGCGTTCATGGAGGCGCTAGGAGCTTTCCTCGAAGGCGCGGACGCGCCAGAAAGCTGGCACCGATTGGTACCGATTGCTTGGGCGCTGCTGTTCTTTCTCGGGCCACTCGTAGGGTCCGTACTCCCGCTCATCCTGTCCCACTCGCTCCCTGCCCCTGTGTCGCCGCCTCTGCTATCTGGGCTAGCGGGAGGGGCGCTGCTCGGTTTGGCGCTGTGGCAGCCGGTGCAGCTGCTGGTAACTGGGCAGATGGAGGTGTTGCCTCTGCTGTCAGTGTTCTATGTGGGCTGTGTGCTGCATTACTTTTGTGCCAGTATGGGCGGGGCCTGGGGGGTGGGTGTGTGGGCAACGCGCAGCAGAAATTGCAGGGCGGTTTTGGTGACGTTCAGTATAGTCACGGGCTGCAGCAGTGGGTTGGGGACGGCGATGAGAAGGAGGTGCTCCGGGCGTGCAAGCCGAGCCTGCAGCTTAGCTACGGAATCCGAACCTCCATTCTGGTCTGTATTGCTGTCTCAGGCCATGCTTTCGCGGAGGGGCTTCTGTTGGGGCAGAAAGCAGCGCCAGGAGGGGACCTAGGAGGAGATTTAGGAGCAAGAGGAAGAGGAGGAGGGAGAGTAGGAGAGATTGGGATGCGCATGCTGCTTCCAGCAGCCATTCATGGAGTGCCACGTGGCATTGCTGCAGCAGCCGCTGCACTAGGTTCCTTCTCCATCACTCGTTCCACCCGGAGCTTCCCGTAGCAGCTGTTCCGTTAGCACTCGCATCGGCGGCTGTAGCAGGGCTGGCTGGGCCTATCGGTGCTGTAGCGTCTTTTCTTTTTGCTTCATACCTTTGGAGCTGGGCTGCTGAACTGGCTTGTGCTAGCCTGCGGCTTGCTGGCCCCTGCAGGATTGGATCAGCTGCTGCCTGGAGGGCTGTGGGTGGCTGGTGGGAGAGGAGTGTGAGTGGAAAAGGAGGGGAATGGGGATGGAGTGTTTTGGATAGGAGACGAGTGGTTGTGGGGGCGGTGTTGGGAATCATGCTTGTGGTGGTGAGCTTCATGGGGAAGAGAACGATATGTGCGCACTCGAGCTTCTGTAATGCGGCTCCGGTGGCACTGACATGAGTTGGGTGTGGATTGAAGTGGCATTGCAGCATATGCGTCTGTGTTATCAATGCTCAATCTCTGCTAGGTGTACATTGTCTGCATGTCGAAATCCATGTTTTTGTAGGTTCTTAAAAGATTTGTACATGTTGAGATTATTACGTAATACCAACACAACTACTCTCTACTATAGCCTTGCCAGGTCAATTATGTTGCCTGATCGCTGATGTCAGGACGTCCATTTCAGCTAACGACTTTCCCTGACATGCCGCCGCCTTTCTCCAGTCTCCCTGCAAGCCCTCGCCTTCCTTCCCACCTTCAAGTTCGAAATTCGACGCCATTTCCTTCTGGCCTTGGATCTGATGGAGGGAGAATTCTGAATGGTGCTTCGAGAATCTAGACTTCGCGTCGCCCTTGCTCCAGGACTTCGAGACGCTTCGCTGACCCTTTCCGCCGCCAGAGCAGCAGCATGGCTCGAAGCTTGTGTCCGCTTGCTGCGGTAGGAGAGCGTTCATGGAGAACGCTCACCATGGGATGCACCTTTGCGACGCCTCATTCTTGCAATACTAGAAAGCGAGTGATTCAAGCTCTCGTTTTTCCTGCATCATCGCTGTAGTACAGACCTTTTTCAACTTCAAATCTCTTGACTACTTTCGCTGGTAGAAAGCGCTCACTCACTCATTTGAGTCGATCAGGCTTCAGAGTCGACTCAGAAGCCTTACTAGAAGCCCAGCTTCAAGCTGCAGTTAACGTTTGTTGCTGGCAGAACGTTAAGCCATGGCTTCCGCTTCTTCTCAGGCTGGATTCTTAGCGAAGCAGGGTCTGAGTTTCTTGTACAGCGCCACTGTAACGGGGGGTGAACGCGGTGTCGACAGGAATCAGCAAGGCATGTAAACACTACGCTGATCTGCACGAACGGGAGAAGATCGAATCCATGCGCAAAGCAGGGAAACGTCCAGAAGACGTCATCTTCGCAGGTGCGACAAGGGACTTGATAAGCTGATCCAATAATCCATTCGATCAATTTATATTCTAATAATTCCTGACATACGTCTTACGGACCTCTGACTGCTTTCTCCTCTCCCGCAGCCCTTCAACGGCTGCTTCACCTTGAAATGGCAGGTTACCACACGAAGTGGCTGCGGTTTCGCAAAAGATCGCCACCAAGCTGGTATGGTACTTGTAGATTCGTATAGCCCCGTTACTGTTTCTACGCTCAACGCCTCATGTTATAAGCAATTATCTCTTGTAGCTGACAATGTAAGCTCGTTAAGGTTCTTGGCACGTTCTGCAGCTCTCGGATTATCACTGCCTGTGCGTTTCTTCAGTGCACAGCAGACGACTTTTGAGGATTCCAAGTACTCTTGGCGGTCACTGTCCGTGGGTTTCAGGGCACAGCAGACGACAGGAGCAGCGTGGAGCATCAGACGCTGCAGGCACTCAGCCGGACCCTCATGGAAGCCTGTCGTCAGCATGGCATGGACGTAACGCCATCAATGAAGGGCGGGAGGCTGGGGTTTCAAGGCCTTGAGGACTTTCTGAACTCGTCGCGAATGGGAACTGACCACTATGATCGCGACAAGCTGGTTACTGACCTGTATTTCGCCTTCCTGTTTGCCCAAGATGTATGTGACCTGCTGTGCTTCCCAAAATACTTGCAAATAATAGTGTTTTGTGGAACATGCAAAAGTGCACCTTCATGTTTCTGGCAGGCGTCTGTCTCATTCTTTTCCTTCTTAGGTGTCTATCCGGTTTTGCAAAATCACAACTGATACTTATTTCCCTAATTCTTTTCTCTCCTTTTATCGCCCATCAGGTCGCTCAAGGTAACACTCAGGGCATTGAAGCAGCTATTAACGGAGCAGTGGAGAGGCTTATATCAGGACCAGCTCGAGACTGCCTGTCGCCTGTATCCCCCCTGAGCCCAGCATCCAGAGGGGGTGCACAGTCTCCTGGCAAAGACCGTTGGAGGGTTCTCCTCTGGCTGCGTGCGTGCTGCTTCTGTCAACGACCTCCCTGCTTACGCTCGTCCAGACGCTCTCAAACTGCCCCAGGCCCCTCCGACATCAACGCCCTTTTTTTCCACCACGGCTACTACCAGCGGCAGCAGCAGCAGTGGGAGCAAATGGGGGACGTCACCCTCTTCAGTTAGCAGACAGGCAGGGAACAAGCCAGCACCTCTTGTGGGCGTTGGAACAGAAGATGATAAGACGTGTGTGCCCTATGGGTTCTAGCCTGCACGAGTGCCAGAACCAATCTGCATGGTTAACATGCCAGCCAGCATTCTGCATGCATTCACTCCTTGTCTGACACGTGTCTGTATGTGATTGGCAGGTCGGGAGGGCTGCTGGTTCTCAAGCGGCTGGCGTGCTGTGTGGCAAGGGCGGCAGCAGAGGCAGAGGCGCGCAGGCAGCGAGGGCTGCTGAACGCACATGAGGTGGTGAGGAGGGAGCAGGATAAGGCCAGCAGAGCAGCAGCCATGGCTGGTGGCGGAGCAAGTGGGGGAGGTGGAATCGGTAGGCCTGGAGTGGGTGGGGCAGGTGCGGGTCGGGGTATGCCCATGGGTGGGGGGAGGCCGAGTCCTGCTGTACCTGGTGGCTCTGCTTCTTCCCTCAGTAGTGCAGGGGGTGTGAGCTACCCTCCTGCTGCCAGAGCTGCTGCTGTGTCTAATTGGAAAGGGGGTAGTTGCAGTGCTGTGCCTGGGGATGCTTCAGTTGAGGCTTATGGTGGAGGGATGGGGGGGTTCACTGGGGGAGTGGGTGGGGGGACAGGCAGTTATGGGGCGTCTGTTGGGGGTGGCAAGGTGGCAGGTGGGCCAGGGAAGAGCAGTGGAGGGGGATGGGGGGGAGGGAAGAGTGTTGGAGGGTGGTGAGATAGGAAGCAGTAAGGATGGGTGAAGGAGGGAGTGGTAATGTCAGAGGAAAAACGATTGTTGGAAGGATGGAGAGTCACAGGTGGGGCTACTGCAGAGAAGAGATCCCTGCAATGATTGCTTTTTCTTACCAACGTCACTTCATCTGACAGCTACCTAGCCTTCAAGAGAACCAATTTGATTTTGTTAGATGCCTGCAAACACTTACTTTCAGATCAAGATGAGTCAATCTGGTACCATGTGAAATGAAACCACACATAGAAATGTCACGTCATAAGCAAGCATTGGATACAGAACTGAAACTGATATCGTACATCACTGAGCTGATGCATGAGACTACCGTACATACACCATGCTGTTCCAAAGCCTAGCCAAACACCACGTACATCACCCTCTTCTTATGCACTCGAAGATGCAAACGGGTCGTGTGCATGGCTCTACTGGAAAATCGCATGGCTACTTCCCTGGAAATGTTTTACCGTGGCAAGGGCTGTAGACGCGGGAGAAAATTAACCTACTCCTGCAATCTACAACCCCTTCCACATTTATTTGCTGATTGCTGCGTATCAGGGTAACGAGTCTCCTTTGAAGGGTCCCAGAACCCGTTACCGCGATGTGATTGGTCGGATCAGCATATGGCCTGCGGAATCCAACGGCGGAAGATCTGTCCGCGAAGAGCGCCGTTGGGAAACGCCTGCGTGTTGATCTGCACGTAGTAACGTCCCGGATTCCCGTCGATCTTCTTTATCAGATCGTATATCGACGTGCCTGAGTCCAGTGGCTTGATACTTTTTGTCGTGCTAAAGCTGCCGCCGCTGCTCGCGCCCGTCGTGCTCGACGCGTTCGCCGGCTTTATGACGTTCGCTTTCCCGTCAGACGGAGCGCGAGTGAACGCCGAATCCGGCGGGGTGACGCCGCTGTTGCTCGCAGTGGATCCACCCCCGCCCCCGTTATTGTCAACCACACCAAGACTGATGTACTTGTTGTTGGCATCTGTGATCCACGTGTCGACCTTCAGTTCGTTGATATCGTCGAGGGTCCAGGGGTTCGGCAGGCGCCAGACGAGCGCGCCGTTGCTACCGCGGCGGCCGTCGTAAAGCATCTGGCCGGTCGGCGGAAGCGGCGCGGTGAGCGACTCGATGTCGAAGTGAAGCTTAATGTTGATCTTGCTGCCTTGCCTGCAAATCTCGGCGGAGTGTCGCAGAGATTAGACAAACGTTGTACGTCAGAGACGGTCGAAAACTTGAGCACGGTTATTGCAAGACGATTTTATACAAGCCCGGTTTACTGGAAGACGATTAGATTAAAAAACACAAAAAACGAAAGACCCACTGGAAGACGAGAATGCGGAAATAGCCGGACGCGCCGGAGTCGCCGCCAAGGTTGGAGCTGAGCACCTTGTTGGGCTTGAGATTCGAGATCAGCGTGCCTGCGAAAGCAAACAGAGGGGTCAAGAGCGGTGAGGTGAGGTTTCAATCGTGCTCTGGCTGGATTCACCGCCGAGCTTTGAGCTGAGCGCCTTGTTGGGCTTGAGACTCGAGATCAGCGTGCCTGCGGGACGACGAGTGGTCCAGAGCTCACAGAAGGGGTCAAGAGCGGTGAGGCGAGGTGAGGGTGAGATGTGCGGTGAATCGAGGAGCGGCTCAACAGACGGGCGTGATGTCGATTGCCCAGCCAGGGGGCATAGGGGTATGAGGTATGGTGAACATGGCAAACCGTCGATGTGCGACATTGCGACAATTCGCAACAATCAGCACGGGAAGCAGAAGATTGAATGAGAGTGACTGGTGGACGGTTCGGGCTGTGAGTCGAGTAGATACACACGAGAGGGGCGACTAGAGGGCAATCGGACAACAAATGGTGGGTCATAAAGAGGTGTGCGACAAGGGGTGTGCGACAAGGGGTGTGCGACGAAGGGCGTGCGACAAGGGCGTGTGACAAGGGCGTGCGACAAGGGCGTGTGACAAGGGCGTGCGACAAGGGCGTGCGACAGGCGGGCGAGGC